AGGCAGGCAGGCAGGCAGGCAGGCATGGACAAGGAAGGAAAGAACGAATGAATGGCGAAATAAAGGGAGGGAGGGAGGGGAATCACTGGGATCCTTTGTCAGGTCAGAGGCTGGTCAATGGTCAAACTCTTATAAGAAGCCAAGGAATCCTCAAGGCAACTAAGCAGTTTGCCCCCCTCCCCGCCCCAGCAAATAATGTTGCCTTTTTCTCCTTTCTCCTATTTCTAGATTTTTTCTCAAGTTTTTCCTCAAATGCAATCAGAACTGCTTGAAGAATGCTGGCAATCCCCGAGATATGCGCCGGTTCCAGGTGAGGTCCTGTGCTGCATGAGGCGCTAGTTCATGTCTCTTCTTTCAGCCCTTCTCTAGAGACACCCTTCTAAAAAAGAAGATACCCTCCTTGTAGCATTTGTTCATCTGGTTTGTTTGAATCCCCTGGAGCCAGGAGGCCCCACGCGAAATGTGGTGGATCTCAGGTGGCGATGCACTTCAAGGAAGAGGGTGACCCATTGGTTGGGGGGGGCAGCTATGGAGGACAATGCACATCAATGCACCTGGGTTCACAATGGAAAATTGCAGATGCATTGATCTCCAAGAAGCATGGGCTGAATCTTTTAGGATGTAGAGGCATCAAAATCACTCTCCTGAACTGGTTTGGAAGTGAACTGGGTATCATCATCTCAGACCCTGGGAAGCTAATGCAACCTGCAGCAGGTTGACCCCCAGGAAAAGCTTCTAAGCAACTGTGGATCCCCACACGGATCTGGAGCAGGGGTGGGATTCTGAGATCCTCCATTTTCCATTGGCCACACTAGTTAATGGATCTTAGTTGAGCATCCTCTGGAGGAGTTTCCCCAACTCTATCCTACTAGGTCATCAGTTGGCTAGTTTGAATAACTGATCACTTGATCCGCCTTCTTCTCCCCAATAAAAGCGGACCTCCATGACTCTCCCTCTTTTTCACGACCACCTTTATCCAGGGAAGGCCGTGATTCCACAGAAGTCATAGGAATGCCAGGTTGTTTTATCTCCCAAGTCCTTGCAGGCTGCATGAGTAATCCTGGCTTTGATCCAAGGAATGGTGGTTCAGGGGCAACCCTGCCCATTTCATAGTGGGATGTCCTGGTCCCCAAACATGGGGACCCTCTTGATTCCAGTCAAAGCTGCTTGCTTAACCAAATCCCTCTCGGCAATGCAAAAAGCCCATTACCAACATTCTGGCACGTGTCCCATAACCCAGAAACGCAACCTGTAACCCAGGGTTCCTCAACCTCAGCAACTTTAAGATGGGTGGACA